AAGTCAGACGCTTAACCGACTGCGCCACCCAGGCGCCCCTCTCGGTTTAGCTTTTAATTGCTGACTGATCACATTTACCTTTTTGTTATTTTCATCCCCTTAGGCTGTGGTTTCCTAGTAAGTTTGTTTGTTTGTTTTTCTTGTTTATTTCTGAGAGCATGCCAGTGGGGGAGGGGCAGAGAGAGAGGGGGACAGAGGTTCAGAAGCGGGCTCATTGCGACAGACAGCCGAGTGCCCCATGCAGGGCTGGAACTCAGGAACCTGTGAGGTCATGACCTGAGCTGAAGTCAGATGCTTAACTGACTGAGCCAGCCAGGTGTCCCATGCTAGTAAGTTCTAATGTTGGTTGGGGCTCATCCCTCCTCCGAGCTCTTTTTTTCTGCATTTTCCAAGCTTTTCTTGCACACATGTGTGTCCATAGAACTTTAGTATCAATTTGTCTCTTCGAGAGAAAAGTGCATGTGGACATTTTTGTGGTTACACTTGTGGCATCCACACGACTCCTGAAACAGAATGCGACGGGCACCAGTGACAGTCCCCACAAGGTTTATTGCGACGAGAGGCAAGGCCGACCGATCGGGACCAACACTTTTGATCAGAGTGCGGCCTCGAACAGCCGGGGTACAGAGTTTTTATAGCCAACCACATCGTTTTATCATCACCTGGGAACAGAACAAAGAAATAGTTCCCAGATGAGGTGGAAACAGTTCCCGGATGCGGTGATTATTCTAGACTTTCTGCCGTTAAGTCCAGTTGATCTCCTTGACCCTGCCTCTGATGCTCTTTTCTTTGAACTTTTGTTTTCTTAATTGGTGAGGCCTAATTTACAACAGTAAAGCAAGGCTGCTGTCTCTTAACCTTCAGGTCAAAACAAACCTGTTATTTCTCAAGCTATAGGTTAGCCCTACACCACAATTTAACCCTTACATCTTTAGGGTCATTACATGTAAGAAATCAACTTAAAATCGCCACCTATTAAGGGTGTGGCTAGATCAGGAAGCCCTCAAACGGGACAGCGGGGCTATGAGGCCAATACCAGAGTGGCCGTTGTCAAGGACGCAGGAACCACAATAGAATAAATCTGTGCCAC